CCATTCACTTTGTGGTGTCGGTATTTGTTCAGTCAGCTAGTTTGAGATAGGGTTTTGCTAAGCAGCCAGACTGGCTTTGAACTCAACTGTTTTAAGTTATAAAGCCCGACACTGACAACCTTCTACCCTGTTTCATGTGACTTGAGAATTAACAAAGTATATGCATGGTGTATGTGAGCATACATGCCATGGTACATATGGGGAGTTAAGAGAACAAGCAACCTTGTAGAGTTTGATCTTTCCTTCCACTTCTATGTGGGCTCTGGAGATCAAACTCAGGCCCAGTTTAACAACGTTTCTGAGTAGACCATCTTCAAGAAACACTGTATTTGCCTCAAATGTGATTTGGTAGTGTTGATACACATATACAATACAACCCAAATAGGACTTCAGTATTATTATAGCCTGCATTTCCTAACCAGAATATATATAATGGTAGGTGCGTGTCGCTCTTACATGCAAGGTAGTATATGGATGGGTATACATTTAAAGAACATTGAATTCTGAGTTCTGTGTTGGTTACCTTAGGTTCACAAGCATTTCTCCAGTTTGCTTGCAAGACGTGTTAAGATCTTTTTGTTGAACTAAATACTACATATTACTTAATAACAAAATAATGGGGGGGGGGTGGCTCAGTTCTTAGAGTGTTTGCCTACCAATATAGAAAGTCCTAAGTTGGATCTCAGCACTCAGGTGGTAGAGGCAGGAGGCTCAGAAGTTCAAGGATGTTGCTACATAGCAAGTTTGAGGCCAGCCTGGTTTACACAAGACAAAACAAATTCTGTTTTCCCCAAACCAAGCTGTCAGGGCTTGTTGAACAGCCCATCATATAAAAACAAGATATCCTGTGCACTGTAGATAAGTGGGGTTATACTATTGAGTCACTTGATGCTTGTGATAAGTAGAAAACACATTGCAAATCAGTTTCATTTACTAAGTGTTCTAAGTATGAGCCAGTACAGAGCTGTTAGCTGTAAGTTATTTTGAAGTGATGTTTATTTCGGGTGTTTCCAGACTTATAACCAACAGTCATCTTTCCTCTCTTTGTGATAGGTTTCCCAGGCAGCTGCAGACTTGAAACAGTTCTGTCTGCAGAATGCTCAACATGACCCTCTGCTGACTGGAGTGTCTTCAAGTACAAATCCCTTCAGACCCCAGAAAGTCTGCTCCTTTTTGTAGTCATATATCTTGAGGTAAGTTCATACCACCCTCTTTTGATACAAAGGAAGAACCAGCTAGGTTTTTTTTATTTGTAGCACTGACAACATCTATCCCTGTAGTCCTGCTTAGCATTCCAAATTTCTTATTTTTGAAGGTTACTGAAAACTAGATTAATAGTCACAAGAACTAATGGTTTTTATTTTTATCACAGAGTGCTAAATAGGTGTAATAACTGTAAAAAAGTAATGGGAGACTCAGAAGTCCACTGCTACCAACAGCCATGTGTTTGTGTAGTGCTGGCACAAACACCATGCATATTTGGAGATGCTAACAGGCAAACTGAAATGTTAACAGATTTACAGTGTTTATAGGAATGACTCTGCAGGTACCGTGGTGGATTTGTGGATAAACTGTCCTCACTGGTATAAGAGAGCCAAGGGGTGAGTAGCATAGCAGAGAACTGGGGTACCTGATAAGCACACATGGCCCAGACATCCCCCTCCCCCAATCTCATTTGCTGAGCAAAGATAGCAAGAGAAGAGAGATTTACATTTGTGTTGGCAATGAAGTGGATTTGAGCATTTGGACAGTATATGGCTATCAGAGTTTATATTCATGTCCTAGGCTAAATGTCACGTGTGAAAAAAACCTGTTCTCCAAAGATGTGGCCAGAATTATTTTGGCTAATTTAAGCTGTAATTATAGGATACCATCATTTGTAATCTTTGGTACTTTAGTTAGTAGTATTGAATTAGGAAGCAAACAGTGTTTTTAAAAATACGCTGTGTGTGGTACACATCCTTATACTAACATTCTGACTTAAAAAGTCCAGGAAGTTGCTTCCTAAAATACCTTGTTACATAGGCTTTGTGGATCTGGGAGTGTACAGGAAGTTAATCACTGTTCAGTAAATATGACTGGTTAGGATGACTAAACACCAAGGAGGAGAATAAAGCTGCTTTTGGAAACAGGTTCTCAGTAAGGAAGCACTGTTAACAGTCTAGCTAGTATCTTAGTATTTAACAGTGTTAATATTTTTTTGCTCTTGGCAATATTCACTGGGTATCTCTACAAGTTTCATATTTTTATGAGTTACTAAAAACTCTTGTGTAGAATCAGTTCCTATATATTTATAGACTTATTTTCACTTAATAAAAAATATTAAGTCTGAGGTCCATAGACTTCTTATTTTTAAGAGTTCACACTTAAACGTTAGAATGACTTACATTTAGAACCTAGAATGTAAATGTAAAATTATGACTGTTAATTCCAGCAGTAAAAGAAAACTTTGGATATTATTATTTGAAGGAATTTAGATCTGAAAACTGTTAAGTGAATTTATAAATTGCCTTCCTGAAGTGCATATTATAACCCAGTAGGTCTAAGTAGGCTCTAAAACCTGCATTTCTTTGAGTTAGTTGATGTCTAGTATACAGTGAAAATGTGGGTTAAAAAAAAATTAGCTGCACTCAGCTTTTAAAAAACAAAGCCAATATAAGTAATTTAACAACAGAGAGTGCAAAAAGGAAATGACTATTGTTACTATGTGTTTCCCCAAGAGGATCTCTACCTCAGTAAGTCTTCATTGTTGTACATAGGGCTTTCAAGAGCTGAGTTTCTCTTAACATCAGTTTCTAAGACTGAGGCCAGGCCACAAGCGACATTTTGGGGCCATGTCTACTTTAGAGGTATAACTACCAAACAGTGACTTGGAAATGTTAGTAATACTTGAGTGTCACTGCCCATGTTTGGTCTTTCACACCAAGGGCAGGGTGTCTTTTTTTTGGGGGTGGGGGAGGATCAACTGTTGCTAAACAGACTTTATTTCCTATTTATTAATCGATTGTTTTCCCCCTAGAGGTTTTGTTGAAACCTCTTCAGTGTTGTGAAGTAATTCAAAATTTCAAATCAGTGTAAAGATGAACTGGTTATCTACCATTTCAAGTTCAATTCAACTTTTTTATAAAACTTTTTATAAAACAGGTAGCACTTTTACTCATTTCCATAACGTGTTGTGAAGTTATGCCTGTGCTTTTTCTTTCTCCTGTATACACACTTAGCTGTATTTTATAGTTTCAAGATAGTAATTTTTAACTGTATAACTACTGCTTTTGTTTTGAGATGTTTTGTCCTGTATAATTTAGTCATTTAAGCTGTCAGACACTATTCTGTTGAATAGACCTTTCCTTTATCCATTCTTCTAACAAGCTGCATTAAGGTGGTTTTATTTTTATGCTGCTGACAGTAGTATGCTCAGTATCTTCGGTGTTTTCTGTGTGTAGATGAATAATAGAACTGATTGCATCTTAGAAATCATTTTTTTCAAAGGATCTTTAGATTTTCCATGTTAAGCATTTTCATATTTACCTTTTTATTATGATAAAGTATATTTCAGTAGTGAGGTAATCTGTGAGACTCCATAAAATAGGATTTTTCTTTCTGCTAGTTGTGAAATTTAAAGGAAAGTTGGATTTTAGTGCCTTTTATACTGTAGATTATATTCTTTGTTACTCTAATACTTGGTGATAGTAAACAGATAAACAGGCTTAGGTTTAGTTTAACCCTTTATAAACCGACATTCAAGTGAGCCACCTAGGGAAGACTTGATTCAAGGTGGGGTGCATACCAACAAACTCATCATGACTGAAAGTATATCACACCCCTAAACTCACCACTGCTACTGCATAGCATCTCAGAAGATAAACTGAATGTGTTCAAGATTCAAAGTATAATAGGCAGAACATAAACCATTTTTAAAAATTATAAAAGAAATTATACTTGTTCAGGTTATTAGTGATAAAAATGTTTTTAAAAGTTACCTGTGTGATACTTTATCTTTTTTTCTTCCCACTAGGTTTCTCAAACTACTTTTCATGAACCAGTGAATATTCAAGAGAACTGTTTGAAGTCTGTACAAAAGCTTCTCTTTAACACGTGCCATAATACAAAATCTTCTACTTGTCAGTCCTTAACATCTACCTCTCTGAATTTTCATGGATTTCTGTTTCACAAGGTTTAACTATTTTATATACACTGGCTGTAGCATACAATAAAGCAGCATACAAACTTCTGGCCTTGTTATTGATATGAAATGTGCTGTATACTCATCTTTTTCAACACCAAGACTCAATGCAAGGCTTCCAGGAACTTACAGAACTGCAAATCTTTTTTCAAAGATTGGGAAACTTGCAGTTTCTATCCTTCAGCTATTTATGGGAATTATTTTAAATATTCCAAATATAGGTGGGAGACAGCTGAGTGGTAGAGTACTTACTACGCAGTTGTGATTTGAGTTTAGATCCCTGTCACCAATGTAAAAAGCTGGGCATGGCTGTGTCCACCTATAACCCCAGCCCTTGTGGGAGACCATTTGTTGGCTACCAGTGTGGATTAAAATGGTAAGCTCCATGAAAAGCCCTGTTTAAAACATAAGAAAGAAAGGGATACAAGGCACTTGACATTGCCTCCTGGGGCGTTAGCAGTTAATTATACCAAGAAGGTAGCTGCTTCCATCTGGTAATAAGAGTTCTATTAAAAATCAAGAACTTGCGAACTCAACAATGCCTGAATGAAGTAGGAAGATAGAGGGTAGTTAGGTAGTAAGAAACAAGAAAACAGGTTAACTTCAGTGACCTGTAATTTTGTTCTAAGTCCCAGAAGCCTGCCCTCCAAGACTGGTATATTAACTCAAGGTTATACACTTATCTACCAACAAGTCTTTTTCTAGCCTACAAGTTCTTTGGAAATGTAAATTAGAAAGTCTGAATCTTCATTCCTATGAAATTATTTACAACTAATCCAAAATGACAGCAAGTTTTAGGACTTGCACACCTAAAAAATTTTCAGACCTAGATAAAATTATATTTATTTATATTTACTATATGGAGTGGAAATTCACAGCACTTGGCCATTTGTTCAAATACAAGATTTATAAAATACCATTTTAAAAAGGGTGTTTCATTAAATTACCAAGTTTTTCAAGACAGGCCTGTCGAGCAGAATTCAGTACTACTCCCCTAGTCCTTTATAAATGGAATTTTCTTCGACTTGTATCCATTTCCCGTGGCTGCAAATTAAAGAGAGAAAAGACAGTGAAGAACAACTTGGGTAAGATAGTAGAAACTGGCTTTCATAAATCTTCATGAATAACAATGGGCTATATCTGAGACCCTCAACAGTTAGTCTTAAGGTCTAATTTACATGTGCTGGGAGCTTCAGGAGCTTAAAGTAAAAAACAGGAAGGATGTACTGCTCTTAGGCAGAAAAAGGATAGTTTCTAAATGTTCTTGAGTCCAACAGTAGTTCTCAAATAATGCAGCAGAATCATTGTAACAGGGTTAGGAGACTGGGGCCTCCTCCTCGTGAAGCTGCAGTAGTACGGGAGGTCTAGGCCTGAGATTTATTCCTATGTTGATATTACTGGTTCCATTTAAACACCACAGTTCTTTGGGCTACTTCAAGCAAATCCTGGTTAATCAGCAGGCCAAGACACTACATCTGGTTGGTACTTTCTAGTTCATGGGAGGGAGAAACACACCTTAATATGTAAACACACAATTAAAATGGGCGTTGGGACAATAAGCACATACCTTATGGACCCATTCATACTCTCCATATTTAGAATCAAAGGTTCCCTTCTGAAGAGATCGTAATTTTAAGGTAAAACGTGGTCCAAGTTCCTGAATTCCCACTTTCTTTTCACTCTTGAATATGTATCTTCAGAGACAAAAGTTAAACAATTGAGTTCATTCAATTTCCTATGGCAGTGCTTAAAGGACTTGTTATATCAGAATATAGGTTCATACTCAATGTACTACATGATTGACAAAAAGTTCAAGTGAATATGTCCCTCACCTGTGAAACCTGAAGAAGATGTAATCCCGCTGATTGTGGAATGTGGCAACTTGTCGTCCAATAAATTGAGGATTATGAGGAAAGAGAGAAGCAAACATACGTCCAATAGAATGACCTAGCCGTGTGGTAAAGTTATTCAGAATTATCTCAGGTACATGTTCTGTGGGGTCTTTGCCCCGTCGCTGGAAAAATTAAACAACAAACCAAAAAGGCTCAGTAAAGATAATTAGAAAACTATACAACACAATTTTGGGGTTTAGAATTTAGATAACATTAAGAAATTTGTTTTTTGGCACAGGGTCCCACTCTGGCTCAGAATGGCTTGTAACTTTTTAATGCAGCCTTTCCTAAAACTCAGCCTCCCATGTGCTGGGATTACAGGCAGGAACCACCAATCTTGGCTTTAAAAAACTTTAAAATGACAAAAATGTAATAGGCAGCTTTATTAAATACTCAAATATTACTATAAAATCAATGTTTCGTGGTAATGAGGACTACTGTTGTTGAAATTGTTTATGGTCTCACAAAATCTCAGCAGAAAACTTGCTGTCATCAGATCAAATAAGTAAAATCAATTAGATCTTTAAGAATGTACTAATAAACTGTGATCAATATTGATCAAGGGGTATCTAAGACTCACCTTAATTTCTTTACGAAGACGAACACTACTCATTTTAAAATGAGCAGTTGGACCATTTGGCAAATGACTCAAAATAAGTCCATCTGTTCATAAAAGTCAAGAAATATACCAAACTGTAACTTAAATCCTAAACTGAATAACAAGTTGTTTTCTTTATGGTCAAGGGCACCTAAAATCTATAAATTAGTGGATGGATGTATTTGTTGTTCTGGGTTAACTGAACTTTACCTACCAAACAAAAGTCAAACCACATAAAATCTTTCAGAAAAAACATACATTAACCTAAAATAGTCTTATAGTCTCCCTTTTGTTTGTTTTTACAGTTAAATAGCATCACTCTCAATAGGACCTTCTGGTCTTTCAAAGTTAAAGTACAAAACAAAAACATCTATCCAATGGCCACTACTCAGAAAGGTGGGGCTCAATGCAACCAGTATGTAGGTTCACCCCCAATTCTATGTTTCATTTGTAAGATTAGGACATGAATATCATCCAACAGGACTACAAATGTTACACTGAAATCAAAGCATCGCTGCTTCTTAAGAGAGAAGCTCTTTGGATTAATGAGAAATTAAAATTAACCTTTATAATCCAGTTGTAGTTTAGCATGAACAGAATAATGCTATATACTATATAAACTACAAATTAAATATATGAAACCTACCTACCAGCAAAGACTGAAGTCAAAAGCCTCAATGCTAGCTGCAACAAACAGACTAATATTCAAGGTTTCATGGCACAAAGGTACTACAACAACTTTACTTTCCAATGAGTAAGTTATAGCTGATGCCCAATTATATCACAAGCAGCCAGAACTGAAATCAGTGGTTGATCAAGGGCTCAGTTAATAATAGCTTTTTGTTTAAGGGGGAAAAAGCTGGGATTGATGGCAAAGCCCAGCAGTCCAGCCTGTGTCTGTGCAACTTGACCCAATTTCAAAATTAAAAAGTGCTTAAAGGGATGGGGGTACAGTTTACTGCAGCCTGGATTTTGAACCCTTTGGGTGCTGTCTTTACTAAAGCAGTGCTTCTCAACCTTCCTAATGCTGCAACACTTTAATACAGTTCCTCATATTGTGGTGACCGCCAACCATAAATAACTTTTGTTGCTATTTCATAAGCTGTAATTTTGCTAGTGTTATGAATCATAACGTAAATATGTGTTTTCAGATGGTCTTGGACAACCCTTGTAAATGGGCGTTCAACTCCTAGAGGTTGCAACCCACAGGTTGAGAACTGCTAGACTAAAGGCAGGTGAGAGAAGTTAAATTATATCCAATTAAAACCCACCAACCTCACATATGTGGCCTGCGTTACTTTTCTGCTGCCTTCAAGACAACCTTGGAATGCAGTGGTTTGCAGGAGACTACCACCAATAATGGCCGGCTTGCGGCTGGTGGACTGTTTGGGAAGGATTTGGAGTTGTACGTAGCCTTGAAGATGGTTTGTCATGAGGTGGGATTTAAGGTTTCAAAAGCCCCCACCAGGCCCTGTCTCTGTCTCCCCTCTCCCCCCAACTTGTAGATGAGGTGTAAGCTCTCAGCTCATGCTCTAGTGTCATTGTCTGCCTGCTGTCATGTTTCTGCCATGAAGGTCATGATCCCACTATTTGAAACTAAGCTGTCAAACTTTGACCAAAGTTCTTCTGGTCATGGTGTCTTGTCATAGTACTACAAAACTAAGATGATGCCCTAGTCAGAGCCATCAATGTACACACAATATGAGACTTACAAACAATACTGCCACCATTAGTCCTCTTCAGTTTGTCACCAATCTATGCAATGTTACTGCTGTCATTTAACCTTCTCATTTTTACAGCTACTTGTCTCCTGACTTTCTTAGATGACATTTTCCACCTATCTTTAAGATTACTCTCGGCCCTCTCTCCTTCTGAGTACATTTTCTAATCCAGGCGGTGATCAAGGCAGGATTTGGTCCTTGGTTAAGTAATGAGCCATACAGGACTTAGCTGGGTCATTTTCTCTGCCCCACACTTCCTAGAGACAAGTGAAGAACTACCCATCAGTTCCACTAGCAGCAGCTTGTTTCCCACCATTCTGCCAACGCTGACTCATGTTCAGAACAGACATTAGTTTAACACACTAAGGTAGGTACAAACTGCACTCTTATATCCGGTTTTCTCAAATGTTCTCGCTCATACGATCTTATACACTACCTATGATAGACCTACCCTGGCTCCGTCGAGGAGTGCTCCAACCCCACGGTCATGCAGTCAGAACATGCACAGTGCCCATCACTTAACACAGCAGGTATGAGTGAGTCATGAAAATGCTTTTCCCCCCAACTTCTGTTAACCCAAATTTAGAACTGGTGTTTTGTTTTGTTTCTTTAAACAGGTATTAGTGTCTACTAAACAACAGGCCAATAGCAAACACTGAATGCTTCTACTTAACGATTCACTACAGGGTCAACTTCGACAAGTACTTCTCTTACTACGTGGACATTCACAGACCCATGAAAATGAAGAAGAGCAGTACATCTACAATAAAGACCTGAGAAAGGCTTGACTCCCATCTACCACAGTGCTATTACAACGTGGCTTGTGTCAGAGTGAAGTGCAGATTCTCAGTTTATAGGCTCTCTATAGGTGGTGGGTTTTTGAGGGGTACATAAGTTGTTTTGTTAAACTAACAACACTCATGCCAAACGGTCGCTGTGCCTGTTTCAAAGAAGAAGACTTGTCACAACAGTGCTGGCTTTCTGAAAGCCTGACACACTGTCCTTCGCTACAGGGCACCTATATAAGATACTAAAGCAAAGAGAAAACGTGGTTAAAGTGATGAATGCTTGTTTCTTACAGTGGAATTGGCAGCTTTAAAATGACGACAACCTAACTGCTAAAACCAAAACAGACCTTGGCGTTCTGTTTGGGAAGCAGTGATACATGCAGCAATCACTTTAAAAATCATTCTTTTCTGGAGTAATTGGGCATATAAAAATATACTAATCTAGTCAAACTAAATTATAATGTAGTCAACAAATGCCACGTTAAAAAGGGTTTGCTATTTTAGTTTCTGGAAAACTAATACAGGCAAACAAAATAATATGCTTAAGTTATATTAAAAACAATGAAAGCCATAAAAAATGGATTTTTAAAATACAGTGTATTAAAACACTGAGTGTTCGCTGGTATAAAAAGAATGTGTTGTCCTGTGTCAGAACAGAACATTCTATTGCTATTTTTATAAATTCTTTACTAATCTGACTCACCCAATTGGCATCTCCTAGATACTGAGATTATAGGCACTATTCAAGAAATAATAGCAACTATAAGAATCTCGATTTTTTTTTTATATTCTTTCATCTCAACAGAAATACCTTGGAGTCAGATGGCATTTGTCTCAGATGTGAGACTTACTGATAGTTTCATTGTTACTGGCACCCACGACACCAGGAGCCACAGGACAAGCTTCACTCCTACCTCAGAACAAAGAAGTGATGTGCTTCCTGAGAGTGTGAGATGAGGCTATACCAAAGTCGTGGTGTCACCTGGGCTGGCGCCTTCATGTCTCCTCCTTTCCAAACGACTGTTCCTCTGCCTCATGCATCACCCGTTCCCAAGCTTCCGTATAAAGCCCTCCTCGCTCATGTCCCTGGAGCAGTGTTCTGTTAGTTGGCAGAGCTATCTGTCTGAATTCACTATGGCAGGCTGACTGTTATATCTGCATTCTTTACTAAAGATTACAGCACTGTTTTAGCTCTAACACTTGCCTGATTTAAAAAAAAAAAAGAAATATATCATATACCACCTGGGATAGAGCTACAGTGTTACAGAAAATATCCATTCTGAAAGTGATGGGAAGCCTGCTCCTATTCCTTCATACATGTTTAAAAACATGCGAGGGAGTGGACAGGAAAATCTCCTTAAGAACAAACCCAAAGGATACTCGGTGTTTTACGATCTTCATTAATAACGATCAGGTCTGTGAAATCTCTTGCAATGCACTGTGGGATAATTTTTTTCAGAGCCAGTCCTCTTCTGTAATAAACATGTGAATCTGGTATAACTGTTGAGAGCTGCTCACAGAGTCGAACTGTTCTCTGTAAGAAAAGAAGACAAATCACCAAAAGTCAGAAGAGAAAGGATGTAAGGACAGGAGTAACGAAGATGCTGAGATAATGCTACGAAAGTCGAGCAAGGCTGGGGAGGAACCACAGCTTGTCTCAGGGATCCAAGGCCAATAATCATCCAAAGTCAGGGCTCCAACAAGGGGTGGTGCTCCTGCATGCAGACAGAGGCATGGCCACATCTCGAGGTAGTTTGTGTACGTACAGTGTGGGACTGCTGCTGGCTCACAATGCACAGAGGCTGGGGATGGCGCCAATCAGCACTATGGGCAGGACAGCACTCCGTAACAAGGGTGTGGCCAGCAGTGAGGTAACAGTGTCAAGGCTGCACAACAATTCTGAAGAAACCATGCTCAGTAACAAAACAACCTCATCCTCATCGGTTATTTCTGTTTAGCTTATGTCATCATTAAAGGCAATTTACTATTGCACTTTTCTGACTGGAGCATTTACATAGAAGAATTCATGGACTGCAGGAATCAATGTGTTTACCCCATGAGGTCTATCTGATGTTGTGATAAGAATCTTAGGAGACGTCTGTCTGTTGAAGTAAGAAGCAAATTCATCTGTACCTTCATCATAAGCCACCTGAGAAGAGAGGAGAGATCATTTTACATCAGACAGTTCTCTGGGCGTGGATTGATTGTAAAGCACTGCATGACGGACTGTTAGCTGACAGCTGTGGGAGGAGCTGACGTTGACAGTGACACGTAGAAGCTCATTCCCCTTCTGCACAAGTGTAAATGGCTAGTTATCAAAACTAATTTCAGGGCATAAACTAAGATGTGTGGATTCTTGCAAAATGGCTACAGATACGGGCAAAAATACCAGTCCTGACCAGTCCTGGCCTCATCCTCTTGGTGGGGGAAAACAGTACCAGCTTCTACGATAAAGAGAGCAGTCTAGGGTGGAAGAGGACAAGAATACAAGTTGGTAGAAGGAAGGTGAAGTCACAGCTTTGTCAAGCCAGGGCTGCAGACCTCGTTTAGAGTAAGGAGTAGCCAGTAATGTAAACGTGGCGCTCTGCAGTACAAGCTGTAGACATACTTGAGACACTGTCACCACAAACCCACAGGTGGCACTAATCTCACACAGCTGAGGGAGACCTGAGACCCCACTGAGTGTGTAAGGCAGGGGGATGAGAACTGGTGGAGCTCTGAAGGCACTGCTCAACACATGCACAGCTCAGATGGAGAGAGATGCACGTCCGAGGGACTCCAGGTATTCAACGGTAGCTGCCTATTGACTGACTGATAAAAAGCATGTGATAAAAACAGGGACAGCCAGCAGCAATGCAGGTCACAGACAAAACAAGTCTAAACCACAGTGACCTCACACTCTGAAGTCCAGGTAAGCTGCAAAACAAAACAGTCCTTAAACTATAAGCTAGACCTAAGCACAGCAGCTCATTCCTGTAGTCCCAGAGAGGCTGAGGCAGGAGGACTGCTTTAAGCTTGAAGCCAGGCTGGGCTACACTGTCTAGGGCAGCCTGGACTACAGAGGGAGAGCTTGTCAAGTAAATAAACAAACAAACATGAACCGAAAAACACTTTCAACTAAATAGCAATATGGTCCAGTGTGGAGAACCAAAATCCATCCTAGAAGTGTAGCAAAGATGGAGAAACTCAGCATAACGTCAAACATGTCATCAGTGTGTAACGGGGGATGCTGACAGACATGAGAGAAAGGCAGAAAAGCTATTTGAAGAAATCATGGCTAAAAAGACAAACGATGAAAATACTGACACTAAGAAGCTCAGCAAATCTCAAGTGGGATATAAAAGAACAGTAATAAACACAGTAGTGTCAAGCTGTTAAAAAAAATCTCAGAAAACCTTGTGATGAGACAGATAGAAATAATGATTAATATGCCGCAGAATATGTTCAAAATACAGAAAGAAAAAAAGCCTTATACTCTGAACAGTTAAAACCAAAATATACATATTTTCAGTAAACAACCCTGAGATAATTAGCAGCTATTAAATCTGCTATGAAACAAAAGTGAAATCCCACAAACCTAAAGAAAATGACATTAGATGGCATGGCAAACCTAGAGACCCAGGACACAGGCACTCCTGGTAAAGCCGTATGCGCATCAAAGACAGCCACACGGATAAACACTCTAGTACCTTTGAGAAGCTTCAGATGAATTCAAGCAGTAACTGCGACAGCAGGTCATGCAGCCAACACATGGTCTATGACCAACAGCACACACAAAGGCAGAGGAGACTGAGCTAACAGCTCCGTGGTCTCTGCAGGCTTAGCAGAACTATGTGGCTTTGCTGCAGTCTCTCTAATGATTAAAGACATGTGGCTTTTTGCTTGTTTCCTTCCAGTGCTGAGGATTAAGCTCCCAGCCCAATGCATGATAGAATTCTAGGGGCAACTACTAGGAGAATACCACAGTCTAAAAATCAAGAGGAATTAAAACAGTATACTAAAAAAAAAATTAATATAAAAGAAAACAGCTAAGGAAGGACAGAAAAAAGTACAGAGAGTGGGAAAAAGGCAGAGGGATGTGAAAGTCTAGCATGCTACTGACAGTAAATACTAATTTTCAGGCTGACAAGAAGCAAGATCTAACTGTATGCTCTTGATAAGTGATACATATTAAATTCAAGTCTGAGGATAATCTCAAAGCAAAGCCTGGACAAGCCAACTGTGCAGAGTCCCTGAGAGCTGAAGTGTTTCCACGCACACACACACACAGAAGACATGAAGAGAGGCCCTGCTGAAAACACAGGGGACAGTTTCTGTGGGATCGAGAATGAGGCCATCAAGGACGTGTAACTACATACACAGTGTAATTGTAAACGCAGGCAGCTAACAAAAGAACTAACACTAGGAAGTAAAAACTCAACGTGCTGGAAGAGGCGGACAGCTGACAAGTAGAACATACATGCTCTTCCTTCGGTAACAATGAAATGGACACACAGAAAGAAGATGTAACAGGGGAGCAGCCTATGAAGATACACAACAATTCCTCCCAGAATCATAGGCAACACGGGTTTTCAAGAGCAACACCGAACATTCCTCAGGACAGACTACATGCCAGGACTTAAAAATCTCTTTAACCGAAAAGGACTAAACTGAAAGTATGTTCAGCAAGCAAGTACAATAAAATTAACAGTAATCATTCAAGGAAGTCTATAATATCTTCAAATATTTGTAAATTAGCATACATAATAATCAATAAGCTAAAGTCAATTAGGGAAATTAGAGAATCCCTTGGGCTGGAGTGACTGCCCAGTTCCAGCTCCTACACACACACACACACACACACACACACACACACACACACACACAACAACAGCAACAAAACTCAAAACAACATCCAAAATTCTCAACCAAAGTAAAAAAAGAAAGAAAACAGAAAACACCAAGCTGTCAATATGTATGGACCACATTGTTAAAGCAATTCGTGGGAAACCAGAGCTTTAAACACACGTGATCAGAGAAGTTCAATCTGTTTCCTTAGAAAGCTCAGGGCTGGGTGAGGACCGGATAAAGCCAGAGATGAGCACAGGAGCTGGAGACTGGAGAAAACTACTGAGGTGAGATGCAGGGGCGGACGGTATCTGCCAGAGGCTGGAAGAGTGCCAAAGACAGGAAACATTAACTTATATAAACAGGGCAGAGTAAGATCATTAGAATCTAAAGCTATTTATCATATACTAAAAAAATAAGTAGATAAGACTGAAGGTTCTCACACATAGAAATGATATTTGAGATGTAAATGTTAATTACTACAACTTAATCATCAGGAATGATATGTATATGTACTTACGACAATTAAATTTTTTAATCGAACTAGAAGCCTAATAAATGACTATGACTAACAGAGATGTCACTACAACCTCCTGATTTAACTGTAACAGTGGAAATAGCTCATTCTCAAACTTGTGGGTTACTAAGCGTGACACTCAAAGGGAATTTTATGGCTGCTAGTAAAAAAATTAAACTGAGCAAACAGATAAAATTAAAATAGAAGCCCAATGAAAATAGAAGGAAACAAGAAGGAGATAGAAATGAAACATAAAATTCAGTAGAAAAGGTAAAAGAAAAACTACTCCGAGAGAAACAAACTAGCTACGTCTGATAAAAAGAAAATGTTAGAATAAACAAGGGCACTCTTAATACAGACGGCCAGTCTAGCTCTTCTCACTGCGTGCTGACTTTCATTTGCACGATATTAACGACAAAGTTTTATTTTTTTAAAAAAGAAAAAATGTTAGGAATCGTAAGGAGACATTACTATAATTTCAGTCATGTGTTCAAATATATGTATCAATTCTAAGGAAGTATCAACAATCTAAAACAATGTATAATCATATAGAATATCAGAACCAGAATAGGTTTATCCCAAGAATGCAAGACTCTTCCTTTTAACTAATTTTAGAAAACCCATAGATGCATAAAGGTAATATATGGAAACACATAAGCATCTCAGTATGTTCAGAAAAAGAATTCTATACTCATTCATGATGGATTCAAGCACAAGTGTGATTTCTGTAAAGCGTAAGGAACCCCTCCGCTGACCACACCCACATCAAGGAGATGCTCTCAGCAGTGGGCTCTCTTAGGAAGAACACCCAAGGACCTCTGCTGCTGCCTCTTCTATTCACTCAACATTATAGCAGAAATTCCAGTCAGAACAAAAGAAAAAAGAAAGCAAGAGATAAATGTGTTATTGGAGAAATACTTATCCAAATTTAGATAAAGTATGGCAAGCCAGTTTAGGCAGGCTATAGTTAGAGGTCCACTACCCCTCAAATCAACTCTATCTTTACAAACTAGCAAACAAAGCGATCTTCAGAGATGCACGTACCCGAGGGAAAAGCCACAGGGCAGGAGTAGCTCTAACAAGACTTATGTGGAAAACCACTATGGAGAAGATACAAAATGTACTGAAATATATTTTTAGTATTTAAGAAAGTTCTAAGTGAAGTAATACATGCAGGTCCCCAGACTGCATTGGCTGCGTTATCTAGGAAACACAAATACCAACGAGAAGGAAAGGAGACCATGAGGAAGGGGAGGAGGGCTATCCTGCTCTCACAATCACCGTGATGGTAAACGGCAGCACACCAAGGATGGTCACTCACACTAGGTTCCTGACATTACCTCTTCATCATTGGGGTCCACTGTGGTCTCATCGTAAACGCGCTGGTTGTCAATGGTCTTCGGTACAGGCTTTGGTGGAGCCTAAAAAAAGGGAAAGATTTTATATTTTAGTGTTAGAAGTATTTCATATTTACTTACTTTATTTACTTATTTACTTATATTCACATTACTGTTGGGAAACAAAACAATAACCCCCCCCTTAAAAATCTGAAAAGACATCCATGGAAATACAGAATGAAATGATTGAAAATGAGGCAGAAATAGCAGAAATCACAAAAATTGTCCATGTCTAAAATAATATCTAACAGTAAAAAGGAAGTCAGCAGAATGGAACAAATATTTAGTAAGGTGCAAATCCAGGTGATTGTTTCTGTACTTCCTGAAATCTACTCAGAAATGTGGCAAACGTCTATCCAGTAACCTAGTAATTCTATTTGGGGTTAATATAAGGATAGAAATAAAATGTCTATGGGGTGGTCATTTGTAATGGAAACAAACATCAATACAGCAAATGGCCAACAGCACAGTAATCGCTAACACGTTGCATACCACATGACCAGATAATGCAGAATTATCATAGCTTAGCTCACGGTATCGACACACTTGCAAGGAGTGAAACAGAACTACGAGAACACACACATGTTATGCAGTGACACGAAGGAAAGGTGAACTGATGAACTATTCAGGATGGTCGGTATGTGTGTAAGGTGTGCAGTCTGTGGAAGCTGGCTCTCTCCTTATACCCAGTGGGTTCTAGGAATTACCTCAGTTGGCCAAACTTGGCAGCAAGTCCCTTTACCTTGCTGAAGCCACACCCAACCCAGGGCCAGTGAAAATGTTAAAGGTTGATCTGCACATAAATTTGCTGCAGTTTATTGATAATATTATATGATGTATTAGAATTTTGAAGGTTGGCTGGAAAAATGGCTCAGTGGCTAAGAGCACTGACTGTTCTTCTAGAGGTCCTGAGTTCAATTCCCAGTATCCACATGGTGTCTCACAGCCATCTGTAATGGGATCTAATGCCCTCTTCTGGAGTGTCTGAGGACAGCGACAGTGTGCTCACATACATAGAATTCTGAAGGTGGAGCCTCGTTTTGATGATTTTAGATGACTTAATCTGATCTTATTTGGACAGTGCAAGAAAAGTGGTATGTGAGTGTCTACACAGTGAGTGTCTACACAGTCTGAGTGTCGGCCTTCCTCAGACAGCCTTAGTCTCACTTGGTATTTATAGGAGAGAAAAGGGGGGAGAACCATATGCTTTAAAAATCTTACAAGATAAATTAGAAATTAAGCATGTGTGAAATTTTTTACAAATGAAAAATTTAGTGGAGCAACACTGGAACGGTTTTTAGTAGTTCTTTCAGCTTCAAGCTACAAGAGCTAAACCCTCAAGCCTAAGTGGGAAGTTCCCCAGCCCCAAAGCCAGGGAGAGTTTTCTCTACCTCCTGAACATCAGCCGCACACTGTGCTTATAGCATACTGTGCTTACTGCCTGTACCAAGTAAGGTACAGCACAGGGCAATTCAACAATTCCATCAGAGTGAGCAACTCTGAGAGCAGGGGATGAGTTTTCACCACTATCTGACAAGTTGGGTTAAGAGTAGAAAGGAATTTGTTACATTCTTTTTATATACCTGAAATGTTTTAGAAGAAACCAACACACTATCAGGAAACACTGCACAACAGAAGACAAATCACATGACTAAAAACCTTACTTACCTTATCACCAAGAGCCTCTCTCTCCTTTTTAAGTTTTTTCTTAGCTGCCAACTTTTCCTTTGGGATAAGAGCAAACACTATTAAGAAACCAGCAATTATTTCACAAAGTCATACTGAAACTACACGTCAGCTCTAGGAACATTCTGAGAAACTACTGTAACCTTTTAAAGTAAGCACATGAAACTTTTTAAGCACATGAACTGCTTAGGTAGCCCTTCTATCCAGGCTTGCTTCTGACTGACCATCCTCCCACCTCAGATTCCTTAGTGTTTAGATTACACTACCACCCACAAAGAGACATATCGATATTTCTTTAATAGTTACAACACTGAACCACAAATGAGCAGCCTAATCAATAAGATTCATTTAACAGAGAACTTGCTTTTTGTATTGCTTACATCAAAGCAGCGCTAAGGCTGAACATTGAAACTTTCAGTAGTTTTTATTTTTACTATAGTGCTTCCAATTAACTAAACATACTATCAAGTATGTTTTCCATAGTGGATGCTTTCTAAGGGTCATGACTGTAATGGTTACTTCTCCTGGAAAGCACTAAAAATAGACAGAAATGGGAGACGAGTTTTCAAAATATTTCCAATAAGGTCACCACTAGCTATTCTTATAGTTTATAACCAAAACTACCTTTTAAGATCAACAGGAAGTAGCAGACATGATTAGTTGTTACTTAGTATACACCCGTATCTCCTGAATCTAGACATGTTTGACATTCTGTAGTGCCTACTGATCTTCAGTCCAAAAAAAAAGGCTTTTAGGACATTCCTCCCTCACGCTTGCAAACCAAAATAGGTGACATGTCCACCATAAGAACTCTGCGGTTAAGAGCACTGACTGTTCTTCCAGAGGTTCTGAGTTCAATTTCCAGCAAACGCATGGTGCCTCACAACCATCTGTAATGGGATCTGATGCTCTCTTCTGGTGTGTCTGAAGACAGTGTACTCATATACATAAAATGAATAAATAAATCTTTAAAAAAAAAAAAAGAAGAACTCCAGTAGCAACCTAGTACTTATGGAAAGTTCCAGCCAAGGTCCTCCAGTAAGAGAACGCAAATAAAATTAAAGAACATCATGGGTTAGTTGCTATGTAAGCAGTACTAGGGACATTTTTTAAACTGTAATTTAGACACAAATGAGCCTTATGATCCTGGGCAAGCCTGTCTAGTTTTCAGCCTCTGTTTACTCCCGGGACAGTGCGAGCACAGGGCGGCAGAGAACGAATACAGCCACTACAAACACTTCACAGTACTAAAACTTCACTCAGGGTTCCTCGAAAGAGTCAGAGGCCGAGGTTAGGACCTGGAGTTTACAACCATCCTGCGCAGAGCCAGGGAGCAGAGTCTTCCAGAGCAAAGAGGGTGGGTCGTCTGCTCTAGGACCCGCCCGAAGAGTGCGACCCACGGAGCAGGCAAGGGCCGGACCCCCCAGGCCAGGCTCCTCCACAAAAGGCTGACGCTAGAGACCCCGCAGGCGAGCGAGGAGACGCGCACACAGCGACCCCGCGCGCGCACGCTCGCCCCCAGCCCCGCGCGCGTACCTTCCGCTGCTGCTGTTTCCACCGCGTGAACATCAAGTGTCGCCGCTGTTTGTTCTTAATCTCCGAGATACTGAAGCCCGGGGGGAAGGCAGCCGCTTTCGCGGGCTGCACCCCGCTCTCCGCCGTCCCATCACTCGCGACCGCAGCCTCTTGAGGCTCTTCAGCGGCGGCTTTCCTCTTCAAGCTTCCCTTGCTCCCACCGCCACTTTTCTCGCCGGCCTTCGCCATATTGTTTGCAGCTGTACGGAAGCGGAAGTGCTTTCCGTCTTTGACCCGCCCAAGACGGTTTTACTTCCGGGGCCGCCAAGTTCAGGGACAAGTGTGTTGCTTTATGGATTAGCTATTTAAGAAAGTGTCAAAGCCGGGCAGTGGTGGCGCACACCTTTAATCCCAGCACTTGGGAGGCAAAGACTGGCGAATTTCTGAGTTCGAGGCCAGCCTGGTCTAGAGCGTGAGTTCCAGGACAGCCAGGGCTACACAGAGAAACCCTGTCAAAAAAATAACAACAAAAAAAGTGTCAAAATTTAGGGTTCACTCTCGACTGTACGAACAGAGAGAAGAGTTCCTAGATTCTTTCACTGAGCCTCTCCTGAGTGTTGATCCTTGTTTTAGCTACAATTTGCTGCAAAGAAACAAAATGGCTCACTAGTTGTGTGGTGAGCTTTAAGGTAGCATGTGCCATTATGTCTAATCATTTCTAAACAGAACAAGGTACAAGAAGATGAAAAGAGAGCGAGGGAACATCTCAACTTCAAAGGTTCACAGAATGTGCTCCTACCACTGATCTCAGACTTTAAGTAAAGATGCTTATACAATAATCCAACGAGGAGGAGCCTTTAATCTGAAAACGGCTGGTATTGCAAAAGAGTTACCATCAACAGAAACAACCAGCTCCGAGGAACCTCAGCAGCAGCAAACTTGTCTGCTACTCAACCACCACAGACACCAGAAGTCAGACGAAAAATTAGGAGAGAAGAAGAGGCTTGAAGTTGAATAGATTTTGTGAGGGTTTTGTAAAAATTCTGTGTTTTCTGTGAGATGTAGTCCTCTTGGTGTATTTTGAGGGAGAAAATGACCTGGTATTTTGTTTTATTTTCAAGGCGCTCTAGCCCTAACTCAGAGTTTGTGGATGCTGAGTGAGCGTCATAAAGCTGGATTTATGGTCTCCTTGATTTGCATATATAAAACAACACTCATAATTATTTAAGGGGGCTGGAGAGATGGCTCAGTGGTTAAGAGCACTGACTACTCTTCCAGTGGTTCTGAGTTCAATTCCCAGCAACCACATGGTGGCTCACAACTATCTGTAATTGAATCTGATGCCCTCTTCTGGTGTGTCTGAAGACAGCTACAGTGTATCCATATACATAAAATAAATAATTCTCAAAAATAATTATTATTTAAGAAGAAACTAAGGGAAAATGGGTGAAATGAGAAATGATAATGGCCGGGTGGTGGTGGCACACGCCTTTAATCCCAGCACTTGGGTGGCAGAGGCAGGCAGATTTCTGAGTTCGAGGCCAGCCTGGTCTATAGAGTGAGTTCCAGGACAGCTAGAGCTACACAGAGAAACCCTGTCTCGAAAAACCAAAAAGAAAAAAGAAAAGAGAGAGAGAGAAAGAGAGAGAGAGAGAGAGAGAGAGAGAGAGAGAGAGAGAGAGAGAGAAATGATAATGAATTGAACAAAGGTAGTATTCACACAGCTTTCACCTCAGAGAAAGGGAGACAGTTTATTCTGGACCCAAACATGAGCGGGCTGAAAACATAGGTTTAGATCTCCCAAAATTCCATTTTCCAAGGTAGAAGCAAGTTCCTAAAGCCTTTTTAATAGTAACAGAATAAAAAGTCATACATAAATCAAGACACTTTCCAAACACATTGATGAAGACACTAAGTGGGAGTTATATCACAGTGAGAAATCTCAGCTACAGGTCTCCAGTTACCACGGAGCCGAAACCAATCCTTTTGGTTAGTGATGTAAGTATTATTAAATTGTAGCAGAACATAATTCATGTTTGTGGTAATGCTGGTGTAAACCCACCATGATGACAGTCATATAAAATTATGACAGCATTACAGTTATGATAGTATTCATTTCTTTTCTTTCTCTCTTTTTTTTTTTCCTTTTCGAGACAGGGTTTCTCTGTGTAGCCCTGGCTGTCCTGGAACTCACTCTGTAGACCAGGCCGGCCTCGAACTCAGAAATCCTCCTGCCTCAGCCTCCCAAGTGCTGGGATTAAAGGCGTGCGCCACCAACACCCGTCAATAGTATTCATTTCTTGACAATGCTAAAAAACCTTGTATGTTACTGGCAGATGTAATACTGCTGGTTTAAATGTTTGTTGTCTTATACTTTTAATCTTTAGATCATACTCCCATTTCCATTTCAATTTTTGTTTCTGCAAAAGTGTGCCATGTTACACCTGTAACAACTCATATGCTTTATGTTTTATCATATCTCTCTTTTTTGTTGTTGTTGTTTTTTTGGTTTTTCGAGACAGGGTTTCTCTGTGTAGTTCTGGCTGTCCTGGAACTCACTCTGTAGACCAGGCCGGCCTCAAACTCAGAAATCCGCCTGCCTCTGCCTCCCAAGTGCTGGGATTAAAGGCGTGCGCCACCACCACCCGGCTTTATCATATCTCTTGATTAAAATCAAAAGACTATGCTGAATGGTCGCCATATGCTCCCAACATTTGTGTAAGTACACACTATGTTGTGTGCACAGTGATAAAATTGTGTGGAAGAAACATTTCACAGAACGTATCTCCTTTACTAAATAGTCCATGGTACTTGGAAATCCATCGATGAGAATGTATTTTCTATAAAATTTAACCCATACATTGTGATCAGATCAGCCAGACAAGAGACAGAAATATTTTAAAGATTTATTTATTTATTTTATGTATATGAGTACATTGTTGCTATCTTCAGACACACCAGAAGAGGGCATCAGATACCATTACAGATGGTTGTGAGCCACCCTGTGGTTGCTGGGAATTGAACTCAGGACCTCTGGAAGAGTAGCCAATGCTCTTAATCACTGAGCCATCTCTTCAGCCCCGACAAATATTTTAAATGTAATAAACCATAATCTTTAGTTTATGCCAATTTTTCTCAGGTGTGTTGACTTAGAATACTCTTAAAAGTTATTGAAATTTCTGAGTTCGAGGCCAGCCTGGTCTACAGAGTGAGTTCCAGGACAGCCAGAGCTACACAGAGAAACCCTGTCTCGAAAAAACAAAAAAAAAGTTATTGAAAACTTCCATGTGGTTATATCTGTCAAAACAAGGAAAAATGTAAATTAGGGTTTTTAAAGCTTGCATATATTTAAGTATAGTAGCAATAAAACCATTATTTAAGAAGTTACATACTTTATGAAAATTACTATACTCTGTAGCACAAAAATAATTGCAAAGAGTCATATTGTTTTGTGGGCTTTTAGCTGGATTGGTAACTATTTTTGCATAGAGTCTTTATTGATAGGAAATCTCGGTTGAAATATATGAAGAAAATCTAGCCTTAATTGTGCAGCTAGTTGAGAGAGGAGTATCTAAGGGATTTTTTTCAGACAATTATTGATATTTGGTACTGCACCCAAATTTGACAAATGTCAGGCTTCTTAAAGCTTACTTGCCATGACAGCTAAGTATGGTGAAGCACAACTTTAATCCCAGAACGTGGGAGGCTGAGACAGGTGGGTCCCTGTGAATTTAAGGCCAGCCTGGTCTATACAGTGAGTTTCAGGCCATCCAGTGATACATAGTAACACTCTTGTCTCAAAAAAAAAATTCCATAAATTGTATCAATGAGCTTTTAATAGTCTCTTACATACATTAAAATGTATTGCTCTGATCTTTTGACTATGTGTGTCTTTGTAACAATGCATTTATTGATCATTTGGAAGTTATTGGTTCAGTGTATCTTTCAAAAGTTGATGCATTTTTTATACCTTTTTTTGCTACACACATGCATGTATATACACACACACACACAGCATGCAGATCAATAGGTCAAAGTTACTGAAGCTGAAATTATTGTTAATTTAATCTCTGTCCTATTCCTGATTGCTAAATCTTTACAAAAAATGTTACTAGTTCCACAAGAGTTTTGGGCAAACTGGTTTGATCCTATTCATTCCATTCAGAATCTCCTAGGCCCACCTCCCTTCCCTTAGCCAGCCGTCATTTGTCATACTTTAAAAGATCTGTTTTCAAAGTTACTGCTTCATTTCCATAACCATTTCCTTCCTTTAACTCTTCCCATGCCCCCAACTCACTCTCAAATTCATGACTTGTTCTTTAATTATTACACACACACACACACACACTACACACAGACACGCCACACACACACACACTCACATACACACTCACACACACTCACACAGTCACACACTCACACACTCACTCATGCACGCACACACATGCTCACACACACTCACACACTCACACAGTCACACAGTCACACACTCACACACAGGCACACACTCACACACACACACACACTACACACAGACACACCACACACACTCACTCATGTACGCACACACACACACACTCACACACTCACACACACTCACTCATCCACGCACACACACGCTCACACACACTCACACACTCACACACTCACACACAGGCACACACTCACACACACTCACACACACACTACACACAGACACACCACACACACTCACTCATGCACACACGCACACTCTCACACACACACACACACGCGCGCGCGCGCGCACACACACACACACAAGCGCGCGCACACACACTCACACACACACACACTCACTCATGCACACACGCACACACACACTCACACACACACACCCCACTGCTGTGTCCATTTAGCATTCCTCATAAATACAGTAAGCGTTTAAGAAATTATAAAAAAAAACCCAAAAAACAAAAAACAATCCTAACTTAATCAGCAAGGCACTGAAAGGTGTCACACTCACAGTGGCACTAAAGTCCCACTTGAGCAGCACTGGACTTGGCTGCTTATGAGTCAAGAGCAATACCTTCAGTGAAACCCAGGGTATTAAAACAGGGCTGTGGAGAATTGAGGAGTCACGGACAGTGGAGACTCTTATCGATATAAACTTCCCTTAAAAACATGGCTTCCTTTCTACTGCTACCGTTCATTAAAGATGAAGAACAATCAGCATAACGTCTTATTATAGAATGGGAGTTTACTATGAAGAAATGTCAAGAGCACTTTATGGGGTTTCTTCGATGTGCAAGCC